ACAACCGTAGCCAAAATTATGGCCAAAATACCGAAACGTGTCCAAAAGCGGCCCCAATTAGGAAAGATCGATGATTACTTGCCATTCTTGCGCTGATCCGCCAACTCATGGTATCTCAGCGCCATTAACGAACTATCAGACAGTTCTGCCTCGTCTGACTCGGATCCCCCTGCATCATATTTACATGGAAAAACATTATAAATTGTCATCCTACAAATACTTATCACTTTTCTGGTCCAATGAAAACGCAATGTACTGTAATTAATTGTAAAAAATAATTTCTTCTTCTTTATGTTCATTTAATTCCTCTTTCTACTTTTTTTTTTTTTTTAATTAGGTTATGATAAACTGATTTACTTTTACAAGTTGTTAATATGAAAAACATAAATTAAAATTCATAATTCAATGATAGTGCAACATAAATTATTTATCCCAAATCACAAATTCACAAATCACAATTCACAGATTCACAAATCAAATTCTCATTTCAATGCCAAATTGTCAATTAACTCATAGAACATAAATAATGACTTTTAAGTAATGATAATCTTAACTTATAAATAGAAAATAACCCAAAAACCAAAAAAAAAAAAGGAGGAGTCAGAAAAGTCACGGCTCAAATTTAAAGTCACGGTGGCACCGGCACCGCAGCTGTTGGCAGCACTAAGAGCCTATTTCCGACCTTCCGGCTTCCGATCCAGCACTGGTGCAGGCATCACCGAGGGTGGGTGGAAGTGGGGAATTCTGTAAATTTGTGGAAAATGAAATGGAACCGACCTAGGTGAATTATTGAAAACGAACTCTTGAGCCTAGACCATATATATCATTTATTTGGGCTGAAAAGTAAAGGTACAACTACATTAAATTATGACTTCAGGCTTCAGCCCAACCAAATGCAAAGGCCCAATTAAAAAGAAACAGGAAGAGGAGGCCTTCGCCAGCGTCGGTCTTTTTTTCATTCTCGTGCACTGTTCCCTGTGCGCTGTTCCTGCGAAGCCCAGCACGCGCGGCCGTCCCCCCTTGTCGAATGCTGGATTCGCCACTGCCCGTCTCCTTCGATGACTAGTAGGTAGAGACCAGAAGGGTTAGAAATTCGGGAAATGAAACAAACATCGGTTTAAACCTTAAATGGAGGAAATTGCTCCAAAGTATAGCTTGGATTATTCTTGCACTTGACAAAGAACAAGAACCTAGTGTATAAAAGATTGAGGACCATACCCTACTTGATCTCTATGTCGAAATTAGGTTTGGTTAAAACACAAGTTAGATATTAACTAAACTTCATTCTTGAATCTCAAATCAATGAACAAATTTATTACGTGCACGCATGTATGCGTGCATGCGTGTGTATATTTATCCACTTTTTGTGTTAGGACTGAACTATCTTTACAAGACTCGGGGCATATAATTCTTATTCTAAAGATAGTGTGTATGGTAAGCTTTTTCAAGTATGTAAGCTACTCGATATCACACATTTTGTAAGATTCACAAGTCACAACTCCTAATCACCTTTTATTTATAAATATCATAAGACCTACATCTTATAATCTATAAAAAAATTCTCCGAATATCCGCTTAATTTAATAATTATTAGTTGACATATCAGATCCAATTAATTGTCTTAATAACTTCGATTCACAAGCACATAGTGCATGGAATTCATAGCAAATAAAAATTCGGAGTACACGTTTGGTAGTATTGAACATGATTTGATGGTAGTTTACAAAATTTGAACCTTTTTTTCTTCCTTAATAAAATCCAATAGCAAATATATTGAATTCTGAAATTTCATCTTAAAAAATCAACTGGGGAAGTTATATTCAAGGAATTACACAAACATAAATTTAGAAGTTTATATTAGAATTCCTACAATGCCGATTCATAAGATATAGAAGAGAGAAAAAGTATACTTATGATACTTTAAAACAATATTTTTAGAGGTATTTTGGTGAGGTCACAACCATTTGACACTTTACATTCTATTCTACGTGCACTATACTATAAATACGTCTCTATTTATTAATCTTGTCTAATTTGATCTAATTTTGCGTGTCAAATATAGCGAGTTTATACACTAGGGTGTGTTTGAGCTACATTATTTTGGAAGAATGAATTTTAGAATAGTAGATTGATGGAGAATGTGTGATTGAAAAAAAAAAAAGGAAAAATTTTCGAAGAGAATTTATGGTTGAAAAATAAGGAAAAGTTATTGATGTGATGGAAAATATTATTTTACTGAAGAATGTGTGGTTGAAAATGAGTAGAAGAATGAGAATGAAAATTTTAATGTGTACTAAACAGGGGCTATATGTGGCTCTAGTTTGTTGTGCTACGAACACTTTGTTTAATACCAACATGGTGAAAATTTAAAACTAGGCACATTAATAAGACAATATTCTAGTTGCTTATAAACTACTACAGATTAGTACAAATATAAGTATTTATATATTTAGTCATTCCGTTGAATAACTTAAGTTTTTACGGAGAAATTTGACATGGTATTAGAACCTTTGATGCGTATTCCTCGTATGCATGAAAATGCACCAAAATTGGAAAGGATTGAAACACCATTTAAATTTCACAAAGTTTTTCACTTGAATTGTGGGTATGAACCTCTTTCAACTGTATTGAGTTTCTGATCTTGGAGAGCATCAGATTGTTGATATGGAACATGAATTTACCAAAAAATATCTTCAAATTTTTTTTTCCTTATAATAAGAAACTCTGGAACCAAATTTTAATCAAGGGTTGTTTGACGATGATTTTGGTAAAATTTTTAATAGATTTTGATAAAAGTTGATGAATTTGTGTTTAAAAAGTTAATAAAAGTTGTGAATTCTATGAAATGTGTAGTTAAAATTAATAATTGACTTTGAAGTTTGATCTCAATGTTTTAGCGACTTTTTAAATCATCCAAACAACTGAACAAGCACTTCTGCACATATCATATCCAAAATTCTCACCTTGATCAACTCAATCTAATCTTTTTTTTTTTTTTTTTTT